TAAAATTATTTTTATCTAATCAATAAAAATTAATTATAGAAAAAAATTAATTATCATCTATTTATTGTATAAAATCATTTGATTAAATTTTATATAAAAATTAAATTAAGATAACTAAATCAAACTAGAGGGAAAATCTTTTTACTTTAAAGTTGTTATAAATTAAGCATTGTTTTTTCATTTTTTTTAAAATAGGAAAATATATTTTTTACTTTAAACTCATCATTATCGATTTATTTTAATTATTTATTTTATTATAAAAAATCTTTTTTTTATCTTTTATTACTTCATTAAAGATAATATAAGTACATAAATTGTTTTTAAATATTTAATTTAGAGAAAAAAATGGATAGTTATTTTAGAATATAAAGATTATATTTTTGAGGTAATAAAAGACAAAAAAAAACTTATACCTCTAGGGACAAACACAACACTACTAAACATAACTTCATTTTTTAATAAAATATCAACTTATATTAAATTCAAGTTATGTGACAAACAAGTGGATGAATAATTGAATAAATTATAGTTTGCTTAGTTTGGCTAACTTTATTATACTATAAATTTTTTCATAAATAACTTGTTAGAGTGTTAAGAGAGAATCTAAGTTATAAACTAATTTTAAACTAATAATAGTTATTAAATAATATAATTTCAGTTATACCAAATAATTTTTTAAAGATGTTTCTCATTTTACAACCTTAATATATAAGATTACGAGATTTGAATGTAATTTTCTTTATAATTCTTTATTTTTTTAAAAAATAGACATACATTAACATAATCTAAATAAAGATCAGTTTTTGAGGTAACAAACTCCTACAAGATCAGCTAAGCATAAAAGATCCACATCATGAGAATAATTCTGCAAAATAACAAAATCATAAGAGGAGTGGGCACCCTTCTTAGCAAATGGCATCAGCAGCCACGCATGTTACACTTCCTGAGAACATGCTTCAGCTAATCAATTAAACCAATTCCCGTTACTCATTACTCCTTTCTAATTCCAAGCTTTCTGTTATTTGTAATATGTTATTTAATAACCGCTATTTGCTATTTATTAATCGTTATTCGTTATCTGTTATCCGTTATTTGTTAAATTATAACCATTATACCAAGCAAACTTTTAATGGGTATGTCTAACATATAAATATATGTATAAATTAGAGATGTATTAAATATATATTTTTATTATAAATTTATATTAAAAAATAAAAATTAAATTATAACTTCTCAAGTATCTAATTAAATTCATATG